TCAGTCTCAAAAATTAAGGAATGCAAACTATCAGATTTGCGTTCGCTATATAGGAACGCACCTTTCAGCAACCTCCCTGGCATGTTTTTCTCGTGCTTCGCGTTCCTCCGCCTTTCGCTTAAAAGCGATGTACTCATTAGGAACAGCTGGTTGATATTCATTCTTCACAATGTATTCTCCAAACAAATTAACCTAAGTTCAAAGAAACTTTAAATGTAGAACCTTAAGACAACGAAACAGTGAAGAAAGGAAGGAGACGAAGGATGATCCTTACGCTATCCTCTACTGCCCCTTTAGGAAGAAAAGACGGAGGCGCGCAGTCCGTGATGGGGAGCGCTCGTACCGGTTGTATCCGGCGCATGTTGAGTGCAGCTTTATTACGAGCAGACAAGTCAACAACTGGTGCTATGCTTGTTTTTTGCTGTAACCAAATTAAAATATACTAAAAGGTTTGACAACTACCACATCATAAACATTCTGTATGTATGAGATGTGTTTTCTTGAATGAAGTGGGTGATTACAAAGCAAAAATAAATGTACCATTCCTTGCTGAATTTGCACTCTTTTCTGAGCAATCTGGGCTTGGAGAAACTTCATCGTAATATTGGCAGAGCCTGAAAATTGGCTGAATGAGTGGAATTTGCACTGGTATGCAAGTAATGGCAGACACGCGCCATTTCCAACTTCTGGGAAAACAGACATGCGTTGCAAATCAGAAGATAAAATATGAATAATTTTGAGAACCACTGAGTAACCTGTTAAATGCCAAATCTCAAGAACTTCCATTTTAATTGATACTCCTGCGAGTTTTAAAACTATCTCCATGGGTACACATATTTGAAAATATATTGCTTCTCACCGAAGCAGAACTTCACGAGCTAATTAAGCATTTTAATAGAAATTCAAAATGTAAGGAAGAAATGAATCCCAAGAAAAAAAAAACTCACCTTTCCCATGAGGAGGTGAATCATCGTCGTCATAAAGTGGCATACCTAAAAGTAGAAAGCAATTAGGATGAATAATATTGACTATGGTAGTGGTTACATAAGCAAATGCGATGACATTTTCGCGACAATAAATTAACAATAATTTTCTTGACATAATGTTGCGATTGACTACAAAGTCGTCGAAGATGGTAGTCGTTTTCTATATGCTCAGCGAAGTCGACGGACCGCCATATATTACAATTATTCTACGCAACCTTCCGTTACAGTCATGCTCAATGACTTGTGGAAGATGTGTTTGAAGCATTGCTTATTGTCAACATTTGGGGTCTTACTTACAAGCTGTTTTAATCGAACTGGCGCTATGCTGAAGGTTGCGTAATCACGCCACACCTACGACAGCGGAGCTTTGGCAATCTGTCAAATTCTAGATGAGAAGCGTCCAAAAAAACAAGCAAAAAAGTGAAGACACAATGAACACTCGATAATACGGTTTAGTGCGTTACAAGGTCTCAATGCTATCTGTCGCGGTGATTCAAGTTACTGTCCACAACCAAAAATGAAACGAAACGTCCCATCCGCAAGCGAGCGCGCTTTCTTTACTGCGTCCT